AGTGAGACTCTGTCTCAAAAATTAATTAAAAAAAAAAAAAGTCAGTCTAGTTAGTAAGCTGGCAGAGTGCAGGATTCAAACCCAGACAGTCTGCTTAAGAAACCACAGACCTCATCACTTGTGTTAGTATTAAGCCCACATTTCGAAAATATAGGTAAACTTGAGTAGATGATCAGTGAGATCAGTGAGGTATCTACTGTAGCCTTGGTTATCAAAAATATATTTGTGAAACTTTGAAGGTCAAGTCACCAACAGTACTGTTAACTAAGGATTGTTCAGAGAAGTAGACAATTCTGGTTGGAAAATTTTGCTAATTATGTGTGATTTTTAAAAAGCTTTTCTTCGATTAACTTCTTATTAGTAATCCCAAAACACCTTAGTGCTTATTGAAGCCTCTTGAAAACGTCTTTGCCTGGAGAAGATGACAGATTAACTCTCATCCAAAAAAATAATCTTAAAACTATCTCAGATCCTAAAATTTTTCTTTGGAAACATTGCTTCATATATGTACAGCAAATATCCTCACCATTTGTTTGTGCAAATCAACCCTGGAGGAAAGACAGAAATGAACCTGGGAAGGATTGATCCAGAAGGAAAAGCAACTGATCATTAGGTTCTTCCCAACCTATGGTATCTCTCTGGCCTCCACTAAAAAAGCAACAGTGAGTCTCCATTCCCTGCTTGCAAGAGAGGTCAGCTCAGCTCAGCTAAAATCAAATCCATATTCATCAAATCTCCCTGTTTGGATCACTTATTATGTTAAAATGAAAAGTAGTATTTCAAGGGGATTCAATTTATGTTCCCAGGGACATAAGAACCATTCTTAAAATATGAATGATTCCTGCAATAAATTATTAGTGGCAACCTCTGGTCAGGCCTCTTAGAACTGTTCTAAGGGACTAAAGATGGATTTCTCATTTCTCATTCCCAGAGTTTAGAGATCTCAAGAATGAGTTTTTTAATCTATGACTTACTGCCTGTTACTAAGTGATTCTGGCTGTGTCAATAAATTTGTTCACAGCTCTAATTGTGTTAATGAATTGAACATAATTAAACTTACAACATGTCATGAGTTTCTTCTGGCAGAACTCAGTAGATTTTTCAAAAAAAGATCTCTGTGGGAAAACAAATAAATGTACTGCACAAGTTCTGCCATTGCTATATAGTCTCCGTGGAGCAAAGACTGAAATAAGGGATTCTGAAATTGGCTTTATGAAGAATATTCCCGTTCTGAATAAAGCTTTATTCAATTTGTAACACCTGTGATCTGTTCTCTGATTAAATTCACTAGGTTGCAAGCTCTTTTAGGGTAAAAAGTATATATTATCTTATCTTTATCCCCAACACTTAGTACAGGGCCTATTACATAAAGGTGTATAGTGACTGAATGTGACTCATGAACCAAATTCGGTCTGAATAGTTCCATCTGGGGGCTCAGGGAGGGAAGGGAGCCTACCATGCATTTGGTCATCTCCTATGTGCTAGTCATTAGGCTCAGAGCTCTCTCACACAGAATTCTATTTAATTCTCACAAAACTCAGGGAAGATCCAATTACAGTAGCGTCCCCCCCCTTGCCATGGCTTCACTTTCCACAGTTTCAGCTACCCAGAATACACATACAGTACAACAAGATATTTTGAGAGAGATCACAATCACATACCTTTTATTATAGTATATTCTTATAACTGTTCTATTTTATTATTAGTTATTGTTATTAATCTCTTACTGGGCCTCATTTGGAAATTAAATTTTATCATACCTATGTATGTACCTGTCTTCGGCCATACCATCCTGAACCCACCTGATCTGATCTCGAAAGCTAAGCAGAGTTGGGCCTGGTTAGTACTTGGATGGGAGATATGTATGTACAATTCTGTGCCACATAATGATATTTTGGTCAATGACAGACTGCATATATGACAGTAGTCCTGAAAGATTATAAGACTGTATTTTCACTCTACCTTTTCTATATTTAGATACATGAACACTACCATTGTGTTACAATTGCCTACAATATTTATGATAGTGCAGTAACATGTTGTTGTACAGGTTTGTAGCTTAGAAGCCATAGGCTGTCCCATATAGTCTAGGTGTGTAGTAGGCTATACCATCAGTTTGTTTAAGTAAACTCTATGATGTTTGCATAACAATGAATTGCCTAATGACACATTTCTTAGAACTTATCCCCAATGCATGATTGTATAGGAAAAAAACATGGTGTATATAGGATTCGGTACTATCCACAGTTTCAGACAACCACTGGGGATCTTTTAACATATCCTCATGTGGATAAGGGGGCACTGTTGTATCTGCATTTGATATGTGCGGAAGCTAAAGCTCAAAGAGGGGAAGTAACTAATCTGAGCTCAGATTTAAGTACATGGGAGACGGGGATTTAAATCCATATCTATCTGACTCCAATACTTATGCTCCTTTCACAGCCCCATGCTGTCCTTAGAAAATACCTAATGGATAGTTGTACTTGCTGGGTCCCTGGTTAACAGTAGTGCATTGTGAAAAGTTATCAAGAATTCTGTATGTACCATACACTTTCCTTAAATGGTTTGCTTTTGCCTAAATCCTTTCTTAAAAAATAAAATTAATTGGCAGTTAAGAAAGATTTGCAACTTTCTCCAAGGTATTTTGTTTACATGGTATCTTCAAAGTTAAGGGCCGTGACTTAACATGTCTTTTATATCTGCTGCAGTGCAATGCATAGGTCTTGCAAACTATGAGTGTTTAATAAATGCTTAATGGTGACAAATATTTAATTTGGATTATTGTTTTCTAAAATGTTACTGCCAAAGGAGCACTTCTTTTAACTCACAAAACCTAAGAGCTTGGTTTTTGACAAAGAAGGAAAAAGAAGTCAAGACTTAGACCACATTCATGTTTTGTGGGCACAGTAAAAGGGAAAGAAAAATCTTTAAACCTTTGGTTTGGTCAGAAAGCTTATATTAACTTGAATTTTGGTATTTAGAAATACTCACAAATAATCTCATGAGGTTATTAGAGTTCTAGCTATTTTCCTAAGGGTGAAAAGCCTTGGACAGGGAGCAGAGAAGAAGAGTGAGAAGCAAAGAGTTCAAATATGTTATAATAATTTTAATATTTATTTAAAGTTTGTAAGATCCTCAGTATGTTCTATCATCTTCAGTCTAAGAAGAGCAGCCCTGTGAGGATGGAAGGGCAGTGACCATGATCTTTATTTCAAATATACAGAAAAAGAACAATTGAGGATTATGCTTAAAAAGCCCAACCTGAGACAGGCTGGGTTTACTGACCTTCCTGCAGCCCGTCAAACTCTGGACATGGGTTTGCCATGGCCACCCAGGCCGTGTTCCAGGTGGGCCACCAGCTGGGAAGGCATGAGGGTCCAACCTCCTCCAGCACACCCACCCTGAGAATGAGGGGGCAGGTTGGGTCGAACTTGGGGACCTCCGTGCTTTGGGAGAGGCTAAAAGAATGAGAATGTAAAACGCATAATTGAGGGCAGATCAGATGGCAAACCAGCTCATTTTGTCTAAGAAGCCCAAGAGAGATGATATAAATTAGACAAATAATCAATAGCCTTCAGATATCCAAGTGAATGCTGCTGAACTCAAATCTCCAGCATGTCTAATTCTGTCTCTAGTAAAGGTTTCCTTTTGTACAAACAAAAATGATGCTTTTTACTACTTTTTTAAAAATAAGGCATTGCATTTGGAGAACCTATAACAATATTGTCTCTTAATTGATTCTTCAAACATGACTTTTTAATTAAATACAGTCAATCCTCAATACCTCCCGTGCATATTCCTAGCTGAGGTCAAACAAAGTAGTAGTCTGCCTTCTTGTTTCAGTTTTTGTATACTGTAAACAAGTGTTCTTTTTAGTGCCACCTTTTTCCAATTTTTGTAACTTTTGTGGTGATTTTGCTTTTTAAAATGGATCCCAAGTGCAATGCCTTATCCGGCAGGGATGGGGAATGTGTGGCCTTCTAGGTCCTTAAAAGTGGTCCTTTTCCCTGGTTTAAAGTCCAAGAAGGCTAAGATGTGCCGTATGAGAAAATATATGTATTACATAAACCTTGTTCAGATATATGTAATACATATATAGTGCTTGTTAGCTATTAGTTCAATGTTAATGAATCAAAAATATATATTAAATAAGATGCCTTTAAGTAGAAACAGATAAAACAAGGTTATGTATTGATCGGTTGACAAAAACATTGTGACCAGGGGCTCACAGGAACCTAATCCTGTGTTTCCCCTAGGAGTAAAGGTTCAGTATTTGCTAATTGAATGTTCACAACAACTTTATAGAATATAACTTCCATAAATAATGAGAATCAACTGTGTACTGTAAGATTCAGTCAAATGAGGGTCGAGCTGGTGATGGCTGACTGTGGGTGCTAGCGTGGCACATAGTAGGCACTCAATAGAGTTTTAGTGAATGAATGAATGAAGCTAATGAAGGATTTACATTCTATAGGTTGGTGAGAACATCAGAACCTATTCTAACTGGTTATATATGCAAACTACAGGGAGAAAATAGAGAGAGTAGGGCCAAGATAGCAGGAAACAATCTGAAACAGATTCCAAGTGAAGAGGTTGCAGAGTATATACCCATTTGGCCTGACTCCTGCAGCTTTCAAGATATTTGGAGGTGCAGAGACAGAAAGAAAAAGACCTGCTACCCCCGGATGGAACTAACAAAGCAGCTCTCACTTTGGCCTGTTCACAGGAGAGGGGGTTAGGAGTGGAGCCACAAAAGAAAAAGTTACTGGCAGCAGCTTCTAAGACCTTATGGAAGCAGTGCCAGCCCTAACACTGGACCAGATAGGCACCTCAACCTTAAAGGAGGTGAATGCTGATTTGTTCTCATAAACATTGTGGTAGGTAGGTAGGTCGTGGCCCCTGAAAGATGCCCATTGCCTAATCCCCAGAACCCATGGCTGTGTTGTGTGGCAAAGGGGAATTAAATTTGCAGATGGAGTTGAGGTTGCTAATCAGCTCACCTTAAAATTGGGAGATCATCCCATGGATGGGCCCAGTGGCATCACAGGGGTCCTTATAAATGGAATCTGGAGGCAGAAGAAGAGTCAATGTCAGGGTGCCAGGATGTAAGAAAGACTCTGCTATCCATGGCTGGCTTTGGAAAGGGAAATGGGTCATGGTCCAAGGAATGTGGACAACACCTAGAAGCTGGAGAAGAAAAGGAAACAGAGTGTCCCCTAGGGACTCCAGAAAGGAATGCACCTCTGCTGAGACCTTGATTTTATCCCATTGAGACTTATTTTGGGTTTCTGAGTTTAAGGGCTGCAAGATAATAAACACATGTTGTGTTAGTTAAGCCACTAATTTTGAGGAAATTTGTTACAGCAGCAATAGTAAACTTTTCCTATATCTGTTGGTCCTTCCAGTGTCTTTAGATGCTTTCATCGATGTGACCATGTATGACCTTTATAATCTCTGTGTAAGACAGAGGCAATCAGAGGCCTCAGACCTAAAAGTTTGTGGCTACTTAGAAGTCAAACTAAACTCAAGTCTAGGTTTTATTTGCCTTTGCAAAATATTCCTTTAGTTCAAACTTGGGAAGTCCTCAAATCTTTTGGGATCACATCCAGATATTTGTGGACCTCAGAGGGACACCCTTATAGAATTTGAATGTCATTTTCCAGGAGAGCCATGTAGGAGGATCAATGGGAATCCAAGCCTTTCCACCATAGTTCACTGCCAACTTCACTGAGCTAGTACAGTGTTAGGAGCTGCTTGATGGGTGTGATAGGCAGCTGTGTGATTGGCCCCCATGATCTTCACCCTCTGGGGCTATGCCCATGAATGTGTCATATTGCATGGCAAAAGGAACTGTGCAGTTGTTAATTGAGGCTACTAATCAGGAACCTCAGCATTTGGAGATTATCCTAGATTGCCCTGGACAGCCAAGGTAATTCCATGAGCCCTTAAAAGCAGGGCTTTTTCCTGCAGACAGCAGAAGAGAGAGGCACAGAGATGCATCAGAAGGAGATATCAGAGAGATTTGAAGCTCAAGAGGGACTTGACTTCATTGTTGTCTTGAAGATGGAAGGGAACATGTGGAGACTGTGAGAAGGAAATGAATTCTATCAACAACCAGTGAACTTGGAAGAGGACCTGAGCCCCAGGTGAAAACAGTAGCCATGGAAGATACCTTGACCTTGACCCAGTGAGACCGTAAGCAGAGATTTCAAGTGAGCCGTGCTATAGGCAGACTCTGACCTACAGGACTGTGAAGCAATAAATGTGTATTGTTTTAAGCTATTAAATCTGTGGTCATTTGCTCAACTAATACAATAGGAATTGGTCCATAAAAGGGATAGAAACAAAGAGATGTTATTCAAAATAAGGATGAACTTACATTTGCAACTAGAAGACCAAGAAGGTGTCTGGATAGGAGATAGAATTAAGTGTGGATCTTAAAGGGTAGATTTCAAATGAAAAATTGGGCAAGCGGGGAAGAGGGTGGAGAGAAATTCCCAGAGAAGGAGCAAATGGAATAAAGGCAGGGCAGGCAGAGCTCGGGATTGATTCGGGGACTGGCGTGTGCTCTATACAAACTCAGGGTTTTATTCTCCTCATCTGGATTCTGGAGCATCACTCTGGTCCAGGCTGGCCCACGAGTGAGTATCTGGAAGGAAAATTCTAGCCTGGGTGTCAATTAAGTCACATCCTGAGACCTCCAGCTGAGATAAGAGAAGATAGATTCCAATTTGGGCTCCATCCTAGGCTACATTCTGTGTGTGTGTGTGTGTGTGTGTGTGTGTGTGCGTGTGCGCGCGCAGACCCCAAGACCAGGCCAAGTGAACACTTGCCCTGGGGCTGGCTCAGGCTCATCCCACAGGTAGAGGACAGCTGGGGGAGAAGCCAGTGCTGCAGGTTGGGTGGGGGCTCAGGGGTGGCAGTGGTGGGTTTCAGAGATCGGACTGCCACCTTTCATCTCAGGAAATAACAATCAGCCCATCCATTCATCTTTACTAGCTCTGTTACCCTGAAAAGTACACTGGGGAATAAAATGAGCACTTTCTACTTGGGTAATTTGGAAGCCTAAATAGAGTAGACCGTTTTGATGATACGGCTCAATGCCAAGCAGTGGAAATGATGACTCAGTGAGTGTTTCTGATGTCCGATCATCTGCAGTGACTGTAATAGCAACACCCTTGTGGAGGTAACTCATGACTAAGCTCCCGTGCACACCTGCCTATTTTATCAGATGTGAAAACCATGAGCTCCTAGGGTCAAAGAACCTCGCTCCGAAATCTCTCTGCCATCCCCTTCCTCTATGATCACATGAGGTGCTTGAGGCATGTTTTCTGACTGTGGCGAGCAAAGTAAGACAATAATGGTTTCTACTTGGAAGCCACATACAGCAAAGAGTAGAATAAAGGTCCTTTGGAGAGTTCAGTTTTCAAAAACTCGTATCTGGCTCCATCCACTTGCCTGTACTCAAATAACATGTTCCTGTGTAACAACTAGACAGATTTTTATGAATCTCTTACAATCTCTTTTGTGTAGGAGATTGAATCAAGGGGGGCGGGGTGGTCTCAAAGGGTAGATTTTCAAAGCAGATATGGTCAACAGGAGTGGGCATGGAGAGAAGTTCCCAGCAGAGGCATGGAGGGGATATTCTGGGACCAGGGAATGTTCTCAGAAAATGGCAAATGTCTCATTAGAAAGGAATAATAAAGCCGGGCGAGGTGGCTCACGCCTGTAATCCTAGCACTCTGGGAGGCTGAGGCGGGCGGATTGCTCGAGGTCAGGAGTTCGAAACCAGCCTGAGCAAGAGCAAGACCCCGTCTCTACTATAAATAGAAAGAAATTAATTGGCCTACTAATATATATATAAAATTAGCCGGGCATGGTGGCGCATGCCTGTAGTCCCAGCTACTCGGGAGGCTGAGGCAGGAGGATTGCTTGAGCCCAGGAGTTTGAGGTAGCTGTGAGCTAGGCTGACGCCATGGCACTCACTCTAGCCTGGTCAACAAGCGAGACTCTGTCTCAAAAAAAAAAAAGGAATAATAGTTTTCTTTCTTTTTTTTTTTTTTTGAGACAGAGTCTTGCTCTGGGGCCCGGGCTAGAGGAACATGGCATCAGCCTAGCTCACATCCACCTCAAACTCCTGGGCCCAAGTGATCCTCCTGCCTCTGCCTCCCAAGTAGCTGGGACTACAAGTGTGCACCACGAGGACACCTGGCTAATTTTTCTATTTTTAGTAGAAAGTGGGTCTCGCTCCTGCTCAGGCTGGTCTCAAACTCCTGAGCTTTAGCGATCCTCCCACCATGGCCTCCCAGAGTGCTAGGATCACAGGAGGAATGGAAGTATTCAATGTAACACTCTGTGATGATGTTCTCCCAAGTTTTTCTAGCTTAAACTCAAGAAGGCAATGAAACCAACACTGACTGTGGAGTCAAGAAGACATGAGTTTGAGTTCTGGCTCCACGATGATCAGCCTGTCTGCCTCCCCTGGGATAATGTAACACTCAAGGAGAAAATATCTGCGAATATGTTTGCAATGTGCTCACAAATGTTCCTGGTCATTCCATCTCTGTCATTCCTCCTGTGTTGTCTCGAAGAGCCTTGGAGGGCAATTGGGGCAGATGTCCTGTCACGACAAACAGTAGATGTTTTCCCCCCTTGGGGGAAGAGATTGCAGCAGGGAAAATTCTACTGAGTGACCAGCAGCCTGCAACGTGCTCATTCTGTGGACGCTATTTCACTTGTGTCTACTCCGAGGGAAGTTTGTTTCTCTGTGCATGAGAGCCAGGCTGTCACCTTCGCTCAGGCATCCTGTGCTCTCCGTCACGTCCGTCACACATATGGTGCCTGGCAGGGTGCACCTCCATTCCAAAGCCCTTTCTGGAGAGCATCTGCTAACCCTGCCAGCCTGACGCCTCCAACCTCAGCACCACCTTTTCCCAGGTTTCTTGCTGAATCAACCAATTAGCTCGGATCGTCTCTGACTGCTTTGAACTGTGTCTTGTTGTAACATGGGTGGATTGGGACCCGATGCAGTCCAAAAGTCACTCTAAGAACAAAGCCTCTTAATACAGCCCTGATACCAGAATCTCTTCTGTCTTCCGTTTAATACAGTTTGTGGTCTTAGGGCTCAAGTTTTCACTGGCTTCTAGAAGAATCCTGGTAGGAATTCTGAGCAATGCTTTCACTGGAGCATTCCTCATGACATTTCCTGCAGGATTTTTCCACAACCTCACAGCAAACTGCATGATTTATTTTGAAAAAAAAATTAATAACTGCCTCTGTGCTCAAGGGATCAATGATATATTCAATCACAGATTATCTTGCCTTTAACAGCTGCACCTCAGCTCATCGTATCCTTGTGACAGTCTCAATACTTGTGCCCCAAAGATTCAAATAATCACACTAAAGTTTCAACAGATCTCAGTTTCTGATAGGACTGAACTGTCTCTGACACGATAGAGTTCCTTGCACTTTCCCAAGGAAAGTTTTCATGGGGGAACCCTGTACTTTTACAAGCCAGATAGAGAAGGAGAACAGAGATGTCCTGTCACCTTTGCAAACTCTATCTAGTGACCTGGCATTTTGCTTTCTTTGGGGTTGCTGCCCTAATGCCCAATACTTATTTTAGTTCCTAAAACTGCATTAAGCATGGCTGAAAAGCTAACTAGGAACTTGATATTAAGGGAAATTCATAAAAACATGTTCTATGTAGTATATAAAAGACTTTCATAAGTTCCAAATGGCCCTTTGGAGGTTATTTGTTATAAGTGAAATGGTTTCATTAAGAGATTACTTTTTTTGCTACCCCTGGTGTTTATCCTTCAACCTGGAACTATTCTGGTTTGTTACCCGTAGGTTGTACCAAGCAAGTCTGTCAGTCAATTCCTCATGCAAACTCCAGAAACTTCTACAAATGGAAACATCAACCAAAAAAAACACAAAGAAAACCTACATTGTAGAGGTGATATCTGCCTTAATTATTTGCAAATTGCTTCAATATCACAGTTGACATCATGAAGAGGATGAAGAAGAAATATACATAAATCAAACCTTTTTTTCTATATTTAAACTAGTTTTTTCTGACAAAATGGATTATTTTAGGTTTGCACATTCAGTGTAATTAGTGCATATGGTCCAGCTGTGAAGAAATAGCTGAGGACTCCTAACTTATTATTAATTAGGCTCATTAAAATGCAAGTAAGAGAACGTTGCCTAGGTAAACAATACCTTATGTCAAAAAGTCATTACTTGACAAGAGCTGGTCTTCCTAACTAAAGTCATTACTGATATTTGGCGGAGGGTTTTTTTTTGAAGGCACCATGGGTGCCAGTTAACTACTTTTGAGTGACATCAAGGACAGACACGCAGAGCTGGAAGGAGCCAGTGGTACAGCACAGCAATTCTTTTCACATCATTTCAAAATACGTCTGGGGGAGGTTAAAGGTTGACAGCCCAATGACAGGCCTTCTTCAACTGCCGGGGTGTCACAGCAGGAGCATGTCAGGAAAATTTCCTCGGCCCCTCTGAATTTCTTACATGTTCACATTTCTTTTCCTGTCTCCCAAGTAGGGAGGGATTGGCAGTTTTGTGACAAACACCTGGGAAAGAGAAATGTGTGTGATCCCAGTTAGGAGCCAGGGAGGGGTTGAGGTGAACAGACACCTGAGCTCGAGTGGGAAGTCTCTCCTGATATTTTGCCAAATTGGAGGGGAGGGGAAGCCACACCGGTCCAAAGGGACATCACTCGCTGGCCCCACCGCCTATAATTTAGCACACTTTTGCAAGAGAGCTGTAAGTTAGCTGTGGCTTCCAGCCCCTGGAAATGCAGCTCTACAGCCTGAAAACTCAGGAATTAGCTCAGCTAACTTGGCAGAGGCCTTCCCAGTCTGCGGAGAGTGTGAGACCGCAGGATCCACAAGCAAGACGTGCAGAATGAACTCCGGCCTTCGATACCCTTGGCCTTGGAAGGCACCCAGCTCCATGGTCAGCGGACACTGTGGTCAGGATTTTTGAGGGTTTCAGGAATTATTCCCCGTGGCATAATCTTCTTTCTAGGGTTCTTTGTTTGAGAGCAACAGAAACGGCTGCACTCACGCACCAGCTGCTTTCTAGAGTTCTAGAAATGTTCCCCTGTCTTTAAAAGTCTATGCACGCTTCCGTATAAATCACTGCAGGAATGCAGGCTCTGGTCTAAATGGATCAAAAGCAGCTATTGACAGATGCTGAAATGAGTGTCTACCCTTAACACTGGGTCAATTGATAAGTGTCTGACCTAGACTTTTGACTGACATGAAGAGCTGTCAGGAAGAACTCCTGTTTCCCAGTGATGACAATAAAGCAGGAGGAGAGGAGAGGGAGGCAGGGAAAACCCAGGAAGAATTCCACTCCCTGGTGGACACAGTCGTGTCCCCTTCGATGCACCCCAGGCAGCTGCATGTTTGATAATGACATTCAGCACCTGTGCTACATAGAGGTTGGGGGGAGTGCAGTCAAATCTGAGAATGCCATGAATCAGATGTGGACAAAAAATTAAGTTTGTCTCAATCAGAGAGAATATTATCTTTAACATTGTTTTTAATCCCCATTCCAAAGTGATTGTAGGAGAAACATTAAATTTAAAGCAAAAATTTTCCATATTATCTTATAGCCTTGAAGGATAGCGTTCAAGGCTATCCTATAGCCTTGAATAGAAATATACACTGGGATATTGGAAAGGTCCAGAGCACCTTAGTCTATGCTGTTTCTGTTTTAGCATTTGGGCACATGACCTCTCCAAAGGGAATCTTGTAGAGTGCATCTCGTTTTTGCGGGGTGCCATTGATCCTATATTTTAATCCAACTGATATCCACAAAGTTATTTCATTTAGGTACCTTCCCATGTCAAGAAGTTATAATTTTTCATATTTTAGAGTTTTACTTTGAGTTGTGGCGATGTGTCCAGCATCCCATCATTAAACCGTGATGCCACCCACATCCAGGCCCATCCCTTGCTTACCGGCAGCTGCTGTCACGCCACAGAGATTCCGCTTCCCCAACCGGAAGCTGCGTTGACCGACCTTCACGCTGACTTCCGGTCCTCACCACAACCTTGCCGGGCTGCTACTTTATAGAGGAAGGAACTGCGGCTCGGAGAGGTTAAGTAACTGGCCCAAGCACACTGGGTCACTTGCCTTTCAGTGTAGCCGGAATTCTATGTAAAAGAACAAGGCTGGTGCTGCCCAGGGAGGCCATAGCACAGACCAGTCTGGGGACAGTCAGCTGGGGTCGGGGTGTCGGGGTGACACTGGGGACGGTGGAATCCTGCTTCTACGTGCACAAATCCTCAGTCCTTTTTTTAAAAAATCCATTTATAAAATTAAAATTCCAGGAACGAAAGACCAAACTCATGCTCTGCAGGAGCACAAAGACTAGGCTAGAGAAATTCCAGGCTTGAAGGCGGAGGGGGTTTGGGGAGCCCCCCAACATGGGTTTGGGGTGACTCCCAGAAGCCTGTGCTGAGGGTCTCCATTGTCCCCGCTGCTCCTCGCTCTGCTCTCTGCCCCCTGCCCCTCAACACTGACCTCTAGAGGTCATTGCAAAGGCTGCAGTGTCCTCTGGTGTCCAAATTGGCTTCCCTGGAGCACAGGGCTAGGGTCCTCGCACAAATGGAGGGAAGGAGGAGAAGGAGGAGTAGTATGAATGCTCTTGGTTCCCCAGGAGTCACCTCGCCAACAGGCCACTGCTCCTGTAAAGGAGGCAACCCTACACAACTCTTCTTTCTGCAAGCTTCCAGTAACTTCTCCCTTCCCTCCTCTCTTTGAGCCTACAACCCAGCCATACCTTTGTGATTCCTCTGTTTGCAAATCAATTCCTCTTGAATGCCCTTATTTGGGCATAGCACCAGCTGAGACCATGCCTGGACAAAACTCCACTACTTTTATCTTCTCCTTGTATGCATAGGAAATTCACTCCATCTCCACTTGGAAATCAGATAAGTCCATAATACACAGTGAGCTCTGGAGGTAAAAATTGCCAGGCACTTCCCTGGACTCACCAAAAGTCCAGTTGCCCCTATGTCAGAAAGTAACATCCAAGACAACCTTTTATTTAGTGTCCATAGCATTTTACACATATTATTTTAGCTGACTTAATTCTTACAATACTATTCTAAGATAGGCAAAACTGAGTCTAAAGTTAGTAATTTGCCTGAAGCTACACAGGAAACGGCAGAACTTAGAAGCGTCCAGTGGCATTGGTCCTAAATTTCTTGGGTAAAGTTGGCAGTCTGTGAAAATGGCAGAGGCTGGCACGACCTGCAGGGCATTCTAAAGACATCTTGTACTTTTGGTTTCCTTAAACATAAGGAGAATTAAAATATTCTGTTCTGCATGAATTAAGTGCATGATGACATTCAGATGAGTGTTTCAGGGAGATGTGCTTATCTAATTGCCTGCCTAACATCGCCACTTGGACGGCTAAGGGTATCTTAACTGAATTTACCCCAAACAAAATTCTTTGTCCCACCCCCACTGCCAACTGCTCCCCCTGCTGTCATTCCCTCTCGGGAAATGGCAACTCCATTTTTTCCAGTTGCTTAGGTTGAAAACCTTCGAACATCTTTGATCCCTCTCTTTGTCTCATACCTCTCATTCATCCTCTCTAGAAACCCTGGTGGCTGTCTATAGTGACTTCAGTAGTGGCCCCTCCAAAACTCATGTCCACCCAGACCCTCGGAGTGTGGAAATAAGGTCTTTGCAGATATAATTAGTTAAGGATAGAGATGAGATCATACTAAATTAGGGTGGGCTGTAAATCCAATGGCTGGTGTCCTTGTGGGAAGAGAAGAGTCACAGAGACACAGAGAAGGCATCGTGAAGATGGAGGTAGAGATTGGAGTTATGCTGCCACTAGCCAAGGGACACCAAAGATTGCCAGAAGTCACTAGAAGCTGGAGAGAGGCATGGGATGTCTTCTGCCAGTGAGCCTCTCTGGAAGAACCAACTCCGCCCATACCTTGATAGTACCTGAACTCTGAGTGAATAAATCTCTCTTATTTTTATCCACCAGATTTGTGGCAATTTGTTATGGCATCCCTAGGAAACTAACACACTGTCCTTTCAAAAGATATCAAGAATATAAATACCACTTGTCACCTCCACTGCTATGACCCTCAAAGACACCATGTTCCTGGATGAGTGCAGTAACCTCCTAATTGGTCACTCTGCTCTACCCTTGCCTCTCTGTGGTCTGCTCTCAAGTCACCAAATGGAACAGTCCTTGTAAAATATCAATGAGATCACATCACTCCTCTGATCAAAACTGCACTGACTCCCCTCGCCCACAGGGTAAGAGCCGAAGTCCCCACAAAAGCACACAGAGCCCTGTGCAATCTGGCCCCCGTGGCCTGCATGATTGCTTCTCCTCCCGGCTTGTACCTTTCTCATTCTGCTCTGGCCACACTGGCCTCTGTCCCCTCACTCCGGCATGTCAGGCTTGCTCCTGCCTTCCAGTCTCTGCTCTGGTTGGGAATGCTTCTCCTTTCCGATGGCCCCGTGATACGCACCTTCACTTCCTGCTAGCCTTTGCTCCATGAGGCTCACCCCCCATCCTGTCTGGAATAACACCCCCCTGCCACTTCACATTGACTCTCTTACTCTGCTTTATTTTTTTCCATAGCAATGATCATCTAACATATTATAAAATTTTATTACTTATGTGTGTAATGACTATTGTGTGTCCCCCTCCCTCTCGCAGTACAGCCTTAGCACTTTAGTGCAGGAATCTTTATTTTGTTCGTTGATATATTCCATGTGTCTAGAAGAGTACCCAGAACATTGAAGGCACTCAAAAAATGCATAATGAGGCTGGGTGCAGTGGCTCACACCTGTAATCCTAGCATTCTGGGAGGCCAAGGCAGGCGGATTGCTCAAGATCAGGAGTTCCAAACCAGCCTTAGCAAGAGCAAGACCCCCGTCCCTACTAAAAATAGAAAGAAATTAATTGGCCAACTAAAAATATATAGAAAAAAAAATTATCCGGATATGGTGGCACATGCCTGTAGTCCCAGCTACTCAGGAGGCTGAGGCAGAAGGATCACCTGAGCCCAGGAGTTTGAGGTTGCTGTGAGCTAGGCTGATGCCACGGCATTCTAGCCCTGGCAACAGAGTAAGACTCTGTCTCAAAAAAAAAAAAATACGTAATGAATTATATTATGTATAAATGTTATATATTAATATGTATTATATAAATATATGAATGAATGAATGAATGAATGAGTTAATGAATGAGGGGAAAAGAAGTACCAGAGGAAATTAGAGAGATGTCAGGGACCAGATTATGTACAACTTTTTAAACTCTGGGAAAGAATTGAAAATTTATTCTGAGTAAGAAGAGAGACAGCATCTAACCTGTGAGAAGTATTTAATTCTTTCTCTACCTTTTCGAGGGGCCAAGTTTCTCTGTCTCTGAAGAGGATCATTTAAGAACCCTTTGATCATATTGATGATATCAGTATCTTTAAAAGGCCTCATATAGGAACTTGCTTTGGAATAGAACCAAGAGTTTATGTATTTTTTTCTTGGGGATGATAACTAAATGAGTTTAAAAAATATAAGAAAAAGATGACAAATGTAAGAACCATTCAAGGAACTGGGTAACCAAATCTTCAGGAGAAATGAAAAAAAAAGTCTTGCTTTATTTGCGATCAGCAAGGTTCAAATGAGCGTTTAGAGGAAAGGGCGGTTGGCTTCTGCACCTCGCTGGAATTTGGTGGCAGTGCCTGGCGTCCTGGCCCAGGCACCCCCGCAAATGTCAGCACTTTAGGACAATTCTGCATGTGGCCAGGGAAATGTTCAATAACCGAGAGTCGCCTCAGCCTCAGTTGGCATCTTTTTCTGGTTGCTCATAAAATGTTTGTGCCTTCATCCCAGGGGAGGGGGCGATTGCCTTTTAAAAGCCTCATCTAACTTTCCTCTGAGCTCCAAGGCGCGTCTGCAGTACACTCGGTATTGTTTTCCCTTCTGTTTGAGTGCTGCAAATTGGTTATCCAAACGCTCCCCTGACCTTCCCCTTCCCTCTCCATCACACACTGACACGTCTAGCCTAAATCCGCGTCTTGCATCACCTCAGGAAACTCATGGCTAATTTCATTATTTGGGAGAGAAAAATGCAAATGAGGCCAGACAGCTGGCGCGCTCCTCAAGGCTGCGCGTGATGGAGGGGCCGGGCCGCCTCGCCAGAGGCCCCGCACCCCCCTGCCCAGACGGCCCCGGTGGGCAGAGAGCGGGAGGCTGCGGGGAGCAGCGGGAACAGATGGCTGCGAGGGGGGAAGGATGGAGAAGCCCAACTTGCCGGAGAGGAGAGCCGGGGGGAAAGGTGGAGTGTCAGTTGTGGGGCAGTCGGATGCAGCACGCGGCGGGACAGGGGTGGCATTCGCCATCCGCACACGCCGTCACTTCCAGAGGGGCAGCGGCGCCCTGGCCTCCGGGTCAACAAAAATCACTGTCTGCTGAGGGCCTGCGTGGCATGGCAGGCCTGTGTTTCATGTTCTGGTTTTCTGGATTTGTATGATCAACTTTTTTTTTTTCCCCCAAAAAAAGAGATATTGAAAGAGAGAGACAAAAATAAAGGAAAGGGGAATGAGAGCCCATTGCCTTCACCTGGAATGAATCTTATCTGCAAACCCGAGTCTGCAAGACATTGAACTTTATTTTTCTATTTTAATTAATTAATTAATTAATTTTGAGACAGAATCTCACTCTGTTGCTCTGGCTAGAGTGCCGTGGCGTCAGCCTAGCTCACAGCAACCTCAAACTCCTGGGCTCAGGTGATCCTCCTGCCTCAGCCCCCTGAGTAGCTGAGGGGACAGAGGGGACTCCCCGGAGTGAGGGGACAGAGGCCAGTGTGGCCAGAGCAGAATGAGAAAGGTACAAGCATGTGCCACCATGCCCGGCTAATTTTTTCCATGTATTTTTAGTTGTCTGGCTAATTTCTTTCTATTTTTTAGTAGAGATGGGGTCTTGCTCTTGCTCAGGCTGGTCTTGAACTCC